TCAAATTTATCGATAGTGGGATTTGAACCCTAGACCTCTTGTATAGTGGTTTGACAATCTAACTACTATACTAAGATCACTTAACCAGATATAAAGTAGATTAAATAGCTTTTTTTTTGTATTATAATAATAAAATTGTAAAATTAACTCTTTATATTCTTATTCAGAATACTTTATATCTTTCTACAAAGTTAATACAGTTATTGTAGTATTACAAAATACCTCATTTTTAAGTTCAGTTCTACAATAAAATAGATAAAGATAGTAATACAAAAGATAATATAAATGTTGAAATTCTATATAATATCAATTAAATATTTGAATAGTAGTTAGTTTAAACAAGATTAATTCAGAAATATTATTAATTGCAATAGCTAACTTAATCAAAAGAATATAATAATTAGCTAAAGTTATAGAATTACCTTATAAAATAGTTATATAAGATTTTATTAGTTTTTAAATAGACTTTATTTGTTTGCATAAATTAAAAAAATTTTTATTATATAATAAATTAAAAATTTTTATATCTGTAATCATATTAAAATATTTCTATAAGATCTAATCAAAAACAGAATATATGACAAGTATAGAATTAGTAGTATTATATAATAATTTCTAATAAGTTTAATATCATACTTATAGATCTTCAGAATTAATTTTTATATTTGCTAACCTTTGTCATAATAATACTAATTTTTGTAGAGATTTATTAAAAAATTTAATTAATTTTTTACAGAGATTAATAAACACTTTTACTTCAGTAAGTTTAGATAAATCTACAGCAATTAAGTTGATAGCATAAGCGATACAATGAAGGTTTATAATATAAGTATATTTACTATATATTTTTTCTCTTGCAACATGACAATTTGAAGCTAAATCAGTGACAATTGCAATGAATTTTTTTGCTTCAATTTGATTAATGATATCTGAAATTTCTGAAGCTAAAAAATCACTAGTATGCGAAGTTGAAGAATAATTTCTTAATAATATTAGATACTCTTTTCTCTCCATAGTCATTACTATATAATTATATATAGATTCCTTACGTTTTGAAGTCCACCCATCAAGAGTTAAGGTAAGATAATCTGTGTTTTCTAACTCTTTATCAATAGCATTTTGTACATGTGCAAATTCATTATCTAGCAATCATCCTGATAGTGTTGTTCATGATGGCAAGGTATAAGCAGGATTATGAGCTTTAAATATATCTCTAATAAATAGATTTTCTATAACTTCAATTAGATATTAGCCATTATCCAACTCTTTAAAAGAATTTTATCATAATGATCATTAACTTGTACAGATAAAGTTAAATTTGATTGAGCATTTCTTGTATAATTATTATTATCCTCAACAAGCCTACTATGCCAATATTTTTGAATATCACTAGGCACGTCTAGGCAATAAATTGCAAGATGAAATTTTAAAGTACATGGTTTACCTCTTGGCCAGTATTTTTTACAATGGAAGCACGTGGTTTCATAGTGTCCTAGGTTTACTTGTTTACCTTTAATCACATAATTCCATACCTCATCAAACTTAGGACCACTTTTTCTAGGTTTTTTTTTTGTGGGCGATCATTATTATCAGATTCTAATGATGCAGAAGCATTATCAACACTGCTGCGTGAATTAGATTCTGACTCTGTAGTTTCATTGAAGTAATTAGATAGAATGATTTCACCACGCGAAGACATCTTGCGAAGCTTTATTTATTTATAGCTTTCTTAATTTTTTTTCTTTATTAAAAAAAAAAACTTTGGTTTGTAATTATGGAATTTGGCCTTTACGATATGTATAACAGATTTTTATAATAAATTTTGAATTTTAAATGTTATATCTAATTACTATATTTTTACGTGTATATTTATTACTACATTTCTACGTGTATATCCATTACTACATTTCTACGTGTATATTCATAGTTTATTATATTAATTAAAAAAAATAGTCTTATGTTAGTCTCGAAATAATGGATATCTAATATCGGGGTCAAAAATTTTAATTATTCGTTATGGCAAATGTTAGTTACGTCGTTATGGCACTTTTGACGCAAATGTCAGTTATTACGACCTACGTCGTTACGGCACTTTTGACGTGACTACACGTCAATGTGACGTATCCATACGTCACCAAATGTCTGCACCTATAGTCCCTTGGTAAATAATCTTTTAAAGGAATACTTAAAAAAGCAAAAAGTACCAAGATTTTGCTAAAAATAAGAAACTATCGATGTTCTCATAGAACATCATATCTAATTTGAGAACATCCCTTTGAGAAAAGTATTCTTTTATATTTATTATTCATGAGAACATTAGCATTAATTTTAGCATTAGTTTGAGTAAGCTCAATATAAATGAGAACATTTTTGAAAATTTAACAACCTATCGGTTTCGGAAGAAAGATTTACCCCAAGTTCCTATCAGCTATTGGACGCTTAAGAATTCTGTCCTTGATTGGACGAAATTGATACAAATTCTGATCTGATATCATAACCAAGTGTCAGTATTAAGGTCAAATAAGACAGTATATCGATATCACTAAAATTTTGTAAGGAGTTTTTTTTATTAAGATACGAAAGGTCCGTTATCTAACAGCTAACAACTTAACGTTAAAATACAAGTGTAGTTCCGAGATATATATTACAGTCAATAATAGATTTGGTATAATAATAATTTTAAATATCAGCGATAAATTTGGAACAGTGTTGGAAATCTGAACTGATTTTAATGTTCCCATAAAAAAATTATTATATCAAGCTGTTAATAAGAACCGGGCTTATAGTTTTTATAGTTTTAAATAATTGCATAACATAATTTTGTTATTTTTTGTTCATTCGGAAATAAAAATCCATTGTATATTTAATGTATCGAACAAACTATCTACATTCACAAACCAGCTCATCTTAAAAGTTCATATTTTCTGCCTTGAGCATTATGTCCCATTACAGAAATATATTAATAAAATTAGCTAATATTGTGCGACCATAAAGAGATTATTGGTTTTTGATGTTACATATCAGATATACAGTAATTCAGAATAACTTAACTGTTAGTAATCGCATGTACTGTACGTACGTACGTACGTGCCATAGAATGAAGGTTTTTCTATATTTCCAAGATCAAATAGTTAATTAAATGCCATCAGTAATAAAACTGATTTGAATTCTTAATGTAAATATTTCACGTCATAATAAAATATCGACTATGATCATTCCAAGATGTATTTAATTCGAAGAGCAATTTATACGTAAATAGATCGATAGGAGTCCATAGATATGACGTATAATTTTTCATCCGCATAAAAAAAGAAATTTAACGTGACATAAGGACGATGCGTAGCAAACTTTGCTGACCAAATTTTTGCTCATTAGAGCGATACTCTAAACATTTATTCTTTCTTTTCATCATTTCCTTTTCATTTTGCTCTTTATTTTTGGAGTTTATAAAGAAAAATGAATGTAATTGCCAATAAGAATGCTGGACAAGAAAATGATATTTATCAGAATGTTATGGGTAATGATTGTTTTTTCTCCTATTCTAAAGAACCTCTGAAGAATCGATACTTTTTATTTTTATTTGCTATCTTGTATATTATAAGTATTTATCTCATGTGGATACTTGTTTTTTATATAAAGAAAATTATGATGAAAATGAGCCTGATCTTTCCCAAGAAGAATGCTGGGCTGTGATTTCAGCCTTTTTTGAGTATCGTGGAATTGTCCGGCAACAATTGGCCTCTTATGATCATTTTGTAGATTACGATGTGCATGATATCGTAGAGGCAAATCATGAAGTTATCTTACAACATGTCGAAGATCGAAATGATCTAGAAGCTCAAATTGTAAATAATAATTTAGTTCTTTGGAATATGTTCATGGAATTTATGATGTTTTATTTTTCAAAGTGGAATTTTGTGTCCATGAGCAATATTAAGGAAGTTATGCACACTATCATATAAACTGAGAAGTTATTCTCAATGATTTTACTTTTGTCCTATAGAGGCGAATCAGGATAACTTTTTCAAATCCTGCTGTTTCCGTAGCAACTCATACCGAAGCTGACGGATCTGTTAATAGGATATGGCCGCATGAAGCGCGTTTGAGGAATCTAACGTGAGGCATTATTCGTCATTTAATTTAGACTAATAAAATAGCATTTAAATTCAATATCGATAACACTCATAATATTTTACAGTTACTCTTGTCCAGTTTATGTTGATGTAAGTTGTGGAACTGCTGTCGTTCCTTGGAATGAAGCAACATCTAGCACGTTCCATGAATTATGTGATGCGAACGAGACTGTTTTCACGCAAACTGCTTTCATTGGAAAGGCAAATATTATCATAATTCTCTTATGTAATTTAAATAAACAGTTAGATTACCAAAAATTAATAATTTTTACATTAGATTCCCGTAATGATTCGATCCAAACATTGTAACTTATACGAAAAAACTGACTATGAAATAACCAGTTTACAAGAATGCCCATATGATCAGGTAATTAAAACAATTCATAAATCGGTTAACACGATTATTAAAATTATTTATATTTTACAGGGTGGTTATTTCATTATCAATGGTTCAGAAAAAGTATTGATCGCTCAAGAAAGATTAGCAGATAACTGCCTTTTTGTTTTCAAGACACCAACACCTTCGATCCATACACATACTGCTGAAATAAAAAGCACCAATGAAAAGGGTGATGTAAGAACAGTGCAACTTTTATTGATGGAGAGATCTGGTGAAATTGGGGTAAAAATTCTTTCAAAATTCTTTCAACAATTGATCATTTGAAACCTTATTGCAAACTGATTTCCTATTTTATATTCAGATTACTGGCCATTTTATACACGCAAGGATACCTTTTGTCAAGAAAGAAATTCCGATAAAAATTCTTTTTTTCGCACTTGGTGTTACCAATGAACAGGACATTATGTCTCGCATCTGTCTTGGTGTACGTAACCATGAGTTAGAAGAAGCGGTGAAAACTTGTTTTGAAGAAGCATTTGCAGTCCAATCTCGAACTGTAAGTACTAAATACATATTCGACTAGCTTTCTGAATGAATAGCGTATAAGTCTTATAAATAATAGGTGGCTTTGGATTATATTGGTCGTCGAGCGAGTCCATCTGGTGTCGGCCAAGAAAGGCGAATAGAGTATGTATGATATGATCATCTTTATAACATTAGTTTTTTTGCGGATAGTTAATCAATTATAATAATCATGAATAGACACGCCAAATTGCTTATGCAAAAGGAATTTCTCCCTCATGTTGGGACAGAGCCCGGAAGCTTAAAACGAAAGTCCTATTATTTAGGTTATATGGTACATAGGCTTTTACTTTGCGCTGTTGGAAGCCGACAATTAGATGATCGTGACCATTTAGGAAAAAAGAGACTAGATACAGCTGGTACTCTTTTACGTAATTTATTCTCAAATGTTTATAAAAAAATGGTTAGGGAGATGACCGAACATGTTAAGAAGGTTAGTTTGGCTTTTATATCTTCCTTCGTTTTGAAGACATATCAATGATATTATTTTTCAGGTCTTGGCAAACAAACGTGAATTTAACATAACCATGGCTATTAAACCACAAACGGTAACCAATGGGTTAAGATATTCGATGGGAACTGGTAATTGGGGAGACCAGAAAAAATCGATGCAGGTATAAATAATATTTAAACAATTTTATATCCGTTTTCTGTAAAAGTTTATTAAAACTTTACTTTATATTTATATTGTATTCCGTAGGCTAAATCTGGTGTTTCCCAAGTATTGAACCGATATTCTTATTCATCTACTTTATCACATCTCAGAAGATGCAATGCTCCAATTGATCGTGATGGTAAAGTTACGAAACCACGTCAGCTTCATAACACACATTGGGGATTCATATGTCCCGCTGAAACTCCTGAAGGGCAAGCGTGTGGTCTAATGAAAAACTTCTCTCTAATGTCATATATTTCTGTTGGAGAGTCTTCAAAATTATTAATTGATCATATTAATGAAACTGGCACGTTACAAGCTTTTTCGCAAACTGATGACATTCTTCAAGATATATGTACCAAGACAAAAGTCTTATTAAACGGTAATTGGATTGGGGTAACACGTTCTCCTGACGATATAGTTATTTCATTAAAGGAAGCGAAGAAAGCATTTTGTGAGGACATTAGCATAGTAAATGACGTTAATGATAAGGAATTAAGAGTATATTGTGATCCTGGACGTGTTTGCAGACCAGTGTTTACAGTTCAAGATTCTACATTGGTGATAACTCATGATCACGTACGAAAGCTTGATCTCACTGTAAGTGTTTTTTATTAAAATGAGCAAAACATTCGAAACATAAAAATAATTATTATTGTTTTTAGAGGTCAGAACGATTAGAGGATGATCACAGTGATTATCTTAATTGGGATCGTTTGATTCAAGAAGGATGCATTGAATATCTTGATGCTGAAGAAGAAGAAGCATAATTGATATGTATGACACCAGAAGATCTAGTAGAGGCAAGAAATAAATGGACTTACGCATTTTTGGATATGCCACCTCCACCAATGAAAAAACGCGGGTTATTTGAAAGAATGAGGACTACACCAGCCTTCACGGATAGATGGACTCATTGTGAAATTCATCCAAGCATGATTTTAGGAATATGTGCTAGTCTTATTCCATTTCCAGATCATAACCAGGTATTTTCTTTGTAAAAAAAAAAAGCTATTTTTTTGGTTTTTTTTTTCTTTCTAACTTATTTCTTTCAGTCACCTCGTAATACTTACCAATCGGCTATGGGAAAACAAGCAATGGGTATACATGCAACTAATTATCAATTAAGGATGGATATCACATCAAATATACTATATTATCCACAAAAGCCATTAGTAACAACTAAAGTTATGGAATTTCTTAAATTCCGAGAAATGCCTGCTGGACAAAATGCTATAGTCGCTATTCTTTGTTATGGAGGATATAATCAAGAAGATTCGATTATTATGAATCAAAGTGGTATAGATAGAGGATTGTTTAGAAGTTTTACATTTAGAAATTATCAGGACTCTGAGAAAAGAATGGTATATATGAAGAAAATATTAACGTTAATATAAAATTAATATAATATTATTTTGATTAATTAAATATTTTTATGCAGGGTGTTTTGGCCATTGAAACTATTGAAAAACCAGATCCACAGTATACAATCGGTCTAAAACATGGAAGTTATCATAAGCTTGGAGAAGACGGTGTTATTGTTCCGGGGATAGCAGTATCTGGAGGAGACATTCTAATTGGGAAAGTAACACCACTCCCACCCGATGTTGCTATGCTAGGTCAAAGATCTGATACACAGGTTAATCGTGACATATCTACTATGTTAAGATATGCCGAAATTGGTTATGTTGATAAAGTATTAATTGGCTCAAATCAAGAGAACGCAAAATTCGTAAAAGTTAGAATTCGAAGTACAAGAATTCCAGAGATTGGGGGTAGAAAAGAAATATTTATCTAAACATTAATTGTCGAGTTATGATTGAATGATACTCAAATTTTAAATAACACTTGCCGTTTCAGACAAGTTTGCTAGTAGACATGGGCAAAAGGGTACTATTGGTATGACTTATCGTCAAGAAGACATGCCTTTCACTCGCGAAGGAATAATTCCCGATGTCATAATAAACCCACATGCCATTCCAAGTCGAATGACGATTGGTCATTTAATTGAATGTTTGATGGGAAAGGTAGCTAGTTAAACTACGTACATTTATTTTTGACTATATACTGTATTTATAAAAAGATTTGTTGCGAAAATTAATGTTGCCTCAAATAAATAGCTTTCTGTTTTAACCGGTAACGAAGGTGATGCAACGCCGTTTACTGATGTAACAGTTGAAGACCTTTCAAAAAATTTGAGAGAACAAGGTTAACATTCGCGCGGATTAGAGGTCATGTATAATGGCCATACGGGAAGAAAATTAGTTGCACAAGTCTTTATTGGTCCAACATATTACCAACGTTTGAAGCATATGGTGCACGATAAAGTACAGTATGTATCGATAACTATTTTCAATTTTAAGCTATTATTTTAATTTAATATTCACATTCAACAGTTCCCGTGCGCGTGGTCCTGTTAATATTTTAACTCGTCAACCTGCCGAAGGACGTAATCGTGAAGGCGGACTACGTTTTGGAGAGATGGAACGTGATTGTATGATTTCGCATGGCACTGCGCTGTTCTTAAAGGTATCATTTACTTTTACACTGATCATTTACTGTATCATTTATTTTAAATGATTAATTTTTATGAATTCTTAACAGGAACGTTTATTTGATGTATCAGACCCTTTTTATATACATATATGCGACATATGTGGTCTTCCGGCTATTGCAAAACCATCCAAAGGAATTTATGAATGCAAAATTTGCAAGAATTCTGTAATGGTAAGGAATATACAGAATAATTTGTTTAAAAAATTATTTTTGTTAAAATTTTGTATATATAGGTTTCCAAAGTTCAAGTCCCATATGCGTGCAAGATGTTATTTCAAGAACTTATGTCTATGAATATTTCTCCGCGTTTGATGTTGTGTTGATTCTTTTGTTCTGATTAATATATCGAGATTTTTCTTATGGCATTTAATAAAAATGTACAATAGCGATAGATTACTTGCAGCAAATATGTTCATTTCAGATGATAAATACTGTAAATTCAACTGTTATAAAATTTAAAATCTCCATTAATTTTATTGGATTTGAAAATCCACACCCTACCACTGTTGATTTTGAAAAATTAATATCGATATGCACTATATCGGAGGTTCAAATTTCTTCATCGCTTTTAAGCCTCAAATCCACTTTATTTTTATAACAATCCTAGCTATAATCTGAACCAAAAATGCGTAATTTTCAAATTAAAATAACTATAGGGTAAACATTTTTAGTAAATAAGTTTTGGCTGAATTTTTACTTTGAAAACTAATTTTTTAAAAGTAATTTCACTCCATTCTACGTACTGTATATTAGGTACCAGATTCATGCTTGAACTTGGGGTTATTAAATTACCGTTGTAATTCCTATAACGATAAATCAGCATTTTATGTTATTGTAACTTTGAAAATATGATGATTTTACGTCGTCATCATTTAAATGTCGTAATGACTGATCTACAATGCGCACAATAATACTGGCTACTCGCATTCCGCAATTAATTGCAATCATTGAGGAAGCTGGTATTATACGGTTATTATGCGGCATAAAAACCGTTATATATCAGATAACCGTATAATTGCCAACCAGTTAGGGTTAGTGGTTTATATAGATATAAAGAATCAGGGTTGTAAAAACTTATCTGTAACTTATTGTAAGTTACATGACATGTAAGTTACAAATATAAGATGTTAAAGCAGGCCAGCTTTAAGATTAATTTTGGCCAGCATTAAGATAAAATAATTCGAATATGAGCTACAATAACATAAAAATTTTTGAAACTTATACAGTATAAGTTACTCTTTTTTCCTTCTTCGGAGTACTCTTCGCAAATTTTTTAAAACCTTATTTATCTTTTTGTTCATTAATATTCTACTTAGGATCTTTTTGGAGTTATCTAGCTTCTGGCCTCTTGACCAATGATGTAAATTGGGTTCGCGCAGTTAGAGTAGGTGCAGCATACATAGATTTAAATTTGTGCATATATCAGTGCTCTTCATATATATAGCATATGTTTTTTTGTATATATTTTTTTGCATTTGTACGAATAAAAATTTTTTTGAATTTATAATTAGTGTTTGTACCCGATCAAAAAAATACTACCCGGGTTACCCGACGGGTGAACTCGCAGGTTACCCGGGTAATCGAC